TAAGTAACTATTTGATCTTTTGTTTAGGTCTAAAACTTTTGTATGATTATTGAGTCAATATTTAAGTATGATTTTGGATTGGATTTGGGCTTTTGTTGAATTTTAAAGTGTAAGTTATTGGGTCAATATTTATTAATGGAAAAAAAATTTCAAAATTTTGCGGGGGCAGTCAAAATTTTTGCAGGGGCGAAACTGAAAAATACATTACAAATTAACTAGGAATAGTGAACCAGTTGACAATGTTGGGAGGGCGGTCGCCCCTGCCCCTATCTCCATCTTTGCAGATAATAGTATGTAAAAAATGATTTTTTTTAAACAGTCTAATGACGTGGCATTCATCATTAAAGATGCCAATTTTTTCTGATAATGCAGCGTGATTGTTCAATAAAAAAAAGTTTTGCATCTCTTTGAGGATGGGGAACAAATAGGCGTCAGAAGAGAGAGAGGAGGGCTACGAGCCCTCTCTCGTTATTATTCTCAAACCATCCATACCTTCTTTTCCCTTTGCTCGGCTCGAGCTACAATTGCAAAAGTAGTTGCACGGTGATGTACGTTTTGTATAGTAGAACGTCTCTTTGCGATCAAATATTTTTGCCTGCTCTATATAGCAGAACGTGAAAAAAAAAAATTGGTTTTGGTTTCAATTTATTTGGCTATAAATATGAAGGTTAAAATCTTTTTTTTTTTTTGCTATCAATTTACTTCAATAATTTTTGACTTGTAGTATTAGATTTTTCAACTCCAATCTCCAACTTCTTTACTCCAATTTTCTTTTATTATGGTGGAGGTGTAATGAAAATCAATATTCAATTGTATAAAAAATTGCATGTGATTTACGAATACCTTCGATGTCTATGGTAACATCAAAGGCTAAGTAGTAGGATTTGTTAGACAAACGATCAAAACTAAAAAAAACACATTGGATGCTCTAATATGTTTGAATGAATAGAAATGTACAGAATTATGTTTTCAAGAAAAGTTGACAGTATAGTTGTCAAGGAGTTGCAGCAAATCCAATGATAGGATATTGTAAGTTTTTAAATTCATTTGTTGATTTAATTGTAAATTTTTAAATTCATTTGTTTTAAAAAAAAACCTGTGTACTAAATATTTTATTCGTGCAAAATTTTAACTCTGCCTATGTTGATTATAACTGATTCCAAGCTTGAAAAAAATGAGGAAGATTTTAACTTTTATTTAATCTACAATTGGTTTAAATTGCACAAAATTTACATTCTTAAAAAGAATTTAGAATTTCACGAATTAAAAAAAAAAAAAAAAAACATGAGCTGGCTCGACGGTAAAGCCTGAGCCAAGCCTCAAAATTTTGATCAGGCTTTGGTTTGGCTCGGCTCGGTGTCACACAAGCCACGAGTTTCGACTCGCAAGTCGGCTCATTGATGCCCCTGGCTTTCAAGCTATGGAACATGAGATTTAAGTAATATGTGTGGCTGGAACCAACAGTCCAATTCAATACTCGGTTGCCAATGAGTCTCCTTGGATTGCTACCATAGTGCAAGCACACTTGACAGAAGATTTCGAGCTATAGTACAACTAGGCAATGGGAAGTTCCTATATGGAGAATCCACATACCCAAGAACTGAGTTTGAAGCGCGGGGAAAGAGCTCGAGCTAGTTTATTTATCTGGAGGCAATAAAGACTATTTTGCATGTGGGTCTTTTCCAAAAGTAAAAGTTCGAGGTAAAATGGTAGTGTGCAAGATGGGTGTCAATGGGAGAGCCGAGAAGGGCCAAATAGTGAAGGAAGCAGGTGTTGCTACGATGATTTTAGTGAACATAGAAATAAATTTGAAGCAAGATCCTGTTGATGTCGATGTCCATGTCCTCCTAGCAACATTGATAGATTTCGATGAATCAATTTTCTTGAAAAGTTATATGAACTCCAAAAGGAGACCAAGAGCTAAAATCATATTCGGAGGAACCATCATTGGAAAATCCCTAGCACTTGCAATAGCTCAATTTTCCACTAGAGGACCAAGTTTTGCCAATCTTGTAATCCTCAAGTCAGATATGATTGCTCCGGGAGTTAAACACAATTGCTGCTTGGCCACAAAATCTAGGCTCGAGTGGCCTTGCAGAAGATTCTTGAAGAGTAAACTTCACTATCATGTCAGGGACTTCCATGGCTCATTAAATATGGCGATAGGTAAGTATATGGAAAGTTGAACCGTTTCAGCTGTCTTTTCTTAAAAACGTACAAAACAACAAATTATTTAGGCGCATTTATTAAGGATGCCTCGTGTTCATAACGTTTCAAAAAACATGGCTCTTCAAAATTAATGCATTACAGCCTCAACAAATAGCATATGCACACAATCTCAGCTTTAACATGAATGGCTTCGGCAATGCCTCAGATTCAATAGGTCACTTTAGAGAAAATAGCCTCAGATAAATTGACCTCAGTTGATGCTTCCCAACTTTTTCCCAAAAAATCATAAACTTCAAAGTACATAGCTTCGGATAAGTACTTCGAGTAAATCATAATAATTCTACTTTCAAGTTCTAATTATAATATAAATATTTATATTTAGACTTGGGGGACGAACTATTATAGTATTGTAAAAAAAGAAAAAAAAAACCATCACAAATTTTGACAACAGAAGCATATGCTTCACATGAATAATCATGCATAGACTTGGGGGACTATTGTTATGTTTCGCCATCGAGGCCATAAGTGAAGGCTACGTTATAATCTACATGGAGATACAAGTCAATGCTCACAAAGTTGACAAAAGACCCAATTGGTCAAAATAAGGAAGTCAAAGAAGAAGCTTGAAACTCTCTGTCCTGAAACTCTTCACACCGAAAGACCTCCAATCCGAAGCCCCCTTTAGTCGAAACCATCGTTCCAATCCGGAGCCCCCTTTGACTGAAGCACTTGGCGTCTTTTAGAGGATTTGTTGTCCACGTAACTATTACAAAAAATGGGTCAACAACTAATTCTCTCATTCTTGTTTCCTGTGTGAATTTTCATTGGAGGCTGCAAAATTGGACAGCCATGGATTGCAGATCGTGATTGTTCATGTTCAATACAAGTAAAGAAATTTGCACAATTCAACAAATGTATAATTTCTATCACTGTTTCTATCTGAATATAAAACAGATTCTTGATGTGAATTGAAATTATATTTATTTTTCACCGAACATGATTAAGTAAATTTCCAATATAAAAGACGTCTCACAAATATAGGAAGTCCAAATTCCATTTACTCAGTGTCGAAGTGGTGGCACCAGAGCGACTCAACGTGCAAGTGAGACCACAACACTTGATATGTAAACATATAAATCAAACTTTGAGTGATAGAGTTTTGTTTATATTAAAGAAAAGAATAAGAAATGATATAAAAAGATACTCTCAAGGACGTGTGACATGGGTAGAGGAAATAATTTTCACAGGGTCCAGAGTCCAATTTCATTAACATGGGCGTCGAAGAAGTGAAAGTCCTCTTGTTCTATGGTCTCAAACATCATAGTATTTCATTTCTCTATGTTAGTACCCACATATCGCGACTGGTTTATGTTACTTAGCCAGGTTCTCACCTTGTTACCTAGCTTCTGAGTTAAGTGGAATCGATCAGATTAAATTTTTGTTATTTTTGGAAATTAGCAAGTGAGAGCCTCCCTTTCCATTCAGTGACACCAAATCATAAGCCACATTGTGTGCCAAATTGCTTATAACTGAATTTAATTATAAGTAACAAGCAAAGTTTAAATTGAACTATTATGTTGTATTCAAAAAAGTTTAAAATAGGCTTATTTGAACAAATGGTGCCCCAACCTATGGAGTATGGACTTGCTGCAGAAACAGAACCTATCCTTAAATCCTTACATTCTTGACAATGATATCCTCATTTCAAACTTTTTCTGCGTAATTGGTCCTTTTCCAAGAAAAGAAACAATGTTAAATGCCAAAAATACTTTTCTTCTCGCTTGTACTTTCCATGTAATGTACCATATGAACCCACAAACTATACTTTTCATATTTTCCTCTACAGCTGGATTGCTGCTCTCTCAGCCATACAAATAATGTATTTTGCCTTGAAAAAGTGAAGATTCCATCCTCAGTGCTCTCCCCCCCGATTTCCATTCAAGAGTCTGCCTTACAATAAAGGTACCAACATGCAATTGTGCAAACATAGTTTCTTGATTCAATATTGCACAGTGTGTGTGTGATTTTTGTTATTGCACAATATTGAATTTTAACATGTAAGAGTCTGCCTTTCAATAAAGGTAACATCATGCAATTGTGCAAACATAGTTTCTTGATTCAATATTGCACAGTGTGTGTGTGATTTTTGTAATTGCACAATATAGAATTTTAACATGATTTAGTCTGCTGTTTTTCATTACCAAATACAAATTGTATAATTGCACTTGATATACCTCAATTTTCAAGAATTGCAATAACACATTTTTTGCTTCGAACGAGGCAATTTTGTTTGATCTTATTGCATTATTTCCGGATTGGAGCGTTCCATGAATTCACTACGTTGTTAGTGTTGGGAATTTACTTAATCATGGATAGCGGAAGTAAAACAATTTTCAATTCCCAAACGAGGATCTGCAATGTGTTTAGATAGAAACTGTGATTAGAATTATACATTTGATGAATTCTGTAAAACCCTTTGCTGATTCACGAACTCTAATGATCACGATCTGCATTCCAAGCTATCCAATTGTTCAGCCTCCAATGGTGATCCACACAGAGAACAAGAATGGTGGCTAGGGTTTCTTTTCTTGTGCTAGCAAGAATAATAAAAAAATTCATACTGTTTTCAAACCCTAGTAGTTTATTAATATAAGTTCAAATGGGCTCGGCCCATCTATTAAACTTAACCCGATCCAATATTTAATTAATCAAATTAATTAAATCTGGTCCATGAATTAATTAATCCAATTAATTAATTCGGGCCTATTAATAAACAACTCAATTAATTAATTATCCAACACTTGTCAATTAATTAATTGGTAAATCTCATTCTTCTGATTCTCTTTTGTGTGTGACCCATTAGGTTCCCGATCACGATGCCGAACGACGTGAATTATTATTTTGATCTAATCAAAATCGATAAATTAAAACGCCCCTTTTAATTTATCACTAATTCACTTTCGTTGTCCCAGATTGACATCTAGCAATGTATCAGGGCAATACATGTGACGGGAAATATCACGTAGCATGACAAAACCAAACTTGTTCGTTTACCGTGAAACTATAATCCTTTCGTCAATATGATCCGATCAATTATGAGATATGGATATGTGTCAATCTCAATTATCGATCATATCTTTTATCCTACTGTTAAGTCAATGTACGTCGAAAACTCTTTTCCGACTTATGAGTTCACCTTGGCCAAGGATTTCATTATTAACTTAACTGGATAAAATGTAGATCATAATCTCTTACTATCTAAGAGTGACGAATCCTCTATTGATCATTCACAACCTTCATATGATTCTTGACATACCCGAACGATGCTGTATTAGCGACCCTTGACAGAGCAACATCCAACACCACCAAAGTATGTCTGCCCTCATATAAGGTACTATGATGACCTCAAGTCAAAGGACCAATTCCACTACCGAACGTTAGAGATTAACCACTAACACTTAGATAGTTATCCATGTGGAATCTCTCAGCGGGTCTCCAATGTTTTGTTCTATAACAAAACATCCACGTGTTCATTCAAGTGTCACCACACTTTAACTTGTGAGATCAACTACTTACTTCACAAGTAAGAATGCCACAACCGATAGTCTATCCGTAATAACGATATCCGTATCTCGTTATTATCTCGACCACAGACGATTTAAGATTCAGTCATATGTAATTTGTATCTCACAATCACAACTCCTTGTGATTAATAAATCACCAAGACTTAAATATACGGATTCTATTATTTAATTTATTAGAATATTAATTCAATTAAATAATAGATATTGCCATATATATGCATTAATTATATATATTCAAAGTGTTTATGTCCAAAATTGATTGGACTTAGGGCATAACACTTACAGTTAGCTAATTCAGTTAGTTGGGTCAATTTCATCTTCTTCATGTTCTACAATTGAAAAAAATGTTGCTGAGAAGCTCATCTATTCCAGTTCTTGGATCCCTACTCTCATCCTTATCAGAAATTCCCTACAATAATCACTACCAATATGAAGCGCCTAATGCTACACCAACTTCCATTCATCAAAAACTCTCTTATGGATCTCAGCATCACCCTAAATCTTTATGGCATTCGTCTCCCTCGAGCACCAGCCAAAGTTCTCCGAGTGGATTTCAAAGAGTTCAATCTGACGGAAACTTGGAAGAATTAGCCAATGTGGACGAGTTTAGTTTCTCCAACTGTAAGAGAAATTTGCGCGTAAAACTAACTGCTCCAGGTTGGAGCCAGTCCCATCTTTCTCGTCGCGCAACTTGGAAACTTGTCAAGAAGATGAAGACAGAGACAAGGACGATGAAGAGGAAGAGGAAGAAAATGAATGGGACGTCGAAAGTATTGAGGAAAACGGTGAATTTATTAGTGAAAACCAATTCAATGTACATAACATGCATATAAAAGAAGAGATGAAAAGTGAATGAATATGATATTTTGAGGTTTGAAGGAAGAGCGCTACAAGAGAATGCTGGAGGAAAGTCCATGCAATCCTTTGTTTTTGAGAAACCATGCTCAGTTCTTGTATCAAGTAAAGCTCCTTCACTAGAATGTACATAAAATTCGCTCCAAGGGTGTTTTTGGTATGATGATAGACCGATTGTGACGACAAACATTTTTCTTAATCCCGTTGAGTTGTACCCAATTAACGATACCAAACGCTATAAAATCTTAAAAAGATTTTTACAAGGTGGTCGTCTAAATCTTCCGTGGTTTCTTGCTTTAAAGACAAACCTTGATTTGCCTATTTTTGGCAGACAAAAGGAGACCTTCAAGGAGCAGAGTATTATTCCATGGCTTCAACAACTGCTTAATGTAGACAAATTTTTGAGCATGCAATGAAAAACAATGCAAGGGGATGATAGAAAGAGTACATGCATTTTCAGCTTTCAGGCGTGGCAATATAAAATGTCCTGTAATTTTTGGATCCTATAATACTTGTAGACAGACTACATATACCCATATCTCCAAATTCTTATGAGTAAGCAAATATCGTTTCATCAACGATAGTTATGGTGTGTTTGATGAGGTGAACTGCAACAATATCACTTCATCAAAAACATAGCTCCAAAAAGCAAATATGCCCTCCTCTTGAATTGGAAATAAAAAACAATCAAGAGAAAAGCATAATAAATCCTCAGTTTCAATTATCTTCACGTCACCAAGTACCAGAGAAACCATTGCTTCCCACTATGTTGTCCCTGCAAAAGTCCTTGTACCAAAACGACCTCCTCTGCCTCTGCCTCTTCCCCTTCCGCTTCCTGGTCAAGCCAATTGCAGAGTGAAAATTATGTCGATAGGAAACAAACATGTACAGTAAACGAGTATTTAAATATCACATGTTAAAAAGGAATATTTACAGTATAAGAAAATTCACACAATCTTCCCATTGAGAGAGAGAGAGAGAGAGAGAGAGAGCTTGTCTATGATGCCTATGTTTCAATCTACCTAGTGACATTGAACTCAAGTTATGTTTCTTTTGTTTAAGTTCGTCTTAGAATTTCTGCTTGAAATAAATATCAAAGGCAATTTTAAAATACTGGTAAACACGATTCCTTCCAATGATTGCCCAGAAGGATACTACAAAAACGATAAGACAAATGCACTTCATATGGAACCAAAGAGAGTGACCAAAATGAGTCCAGTGACAACATGTTTAGTACGCAGTATTATACAGAGAGGATAGTGGACAGCTCAATGAAAAATATTTTGGTCTTTTCCCTTATCATAACAGATGACATAGAAGTTAAGCCACCTATGTTTCAATTAGAAAAGAAATGGAAGTTTATGAATACGTACTCCCTCCACGAGAAGCACTGCTGTTATTTGGTCTTCTCTCCTCAATGTAAACTAGCCTTCCAGCCAACTGAACAGGAGATGCCTAGAAAAGAAAAAATTAAAATAAAACAACAAATAATTACTGGAATTGACAATTGAACATCCCAACAATAATTTACAACTAAAAGAAAACTTGAAAAGAAATATTATGCACAATTTTGTATGAAGAAAAACTGTGGTCCTAGATCTGATTTGCAAGTCTGGGATACTACTGGTAGCTAATAGCACATTCATTGAGCAAGCCATGACAGAGTCTGCTTACATTCCAAAGCAACTGGATGATCGCCCAGGCAACATTGAAAAATAATAGAAAACTGAAGAGGAAATTGTAAAAGAAAAAATTAGGGCTTCTTTCAACCATTAAACTCTTTTTCAGATTTCTCCTGTATATTTACTCCCGTTGAATATATCTTATACCGTTCCATGTACCTGAAACCACAAATTTACTCCAAATTTCATTTTAGTTAAAACTTTTTAGAGTCCTCAAGCCAAGAATGATTCCACTTTTTTCCCTTTGGCTTGTAATCACATCAACCATAACGTGGTCTATCACCTTGGTTGGGGAGAAAGTTTGAATCCTTATTTTACGGTTTAGCTTGATTCCTAAATTCTTGTGCATAATTAAAATTAGGCAAACTACGAAAGAAATTTAGCCAGATGTGTAATGGGCACATGATGGGAAATATCTATACACCAATGGTATTTAAATAAGGAGAGGGAAGATGCACCACACAAACTATTAGGCAGTGATGGACCCAAAGAAAAGGTGAAGAAATGGAAAGCAGTGGGAACGACCTATAAAAATTATAATAAATAATATCTAAAGAAACAGCTCATATCTTGATCCAAAGCCAAACATATCGTTGACTGATAAGAATTCAAACCTTGATAGCATTCCGAGCACTCTGCACATCTTCAAACTCAACAAATGCGTAGCAAACACCAGTATCCTGTCCATCAATTGAAAAATCAGAGATCCCACAAATTTACAGCTTAAAGTACATGATAAAAGACAGTGGAAAGGAAATAAACCTGGCGATTTTTTAAGAAGACTCCATCATGCTTGATTTTCCCGAAGTTCTTAAACTCTTGGAGAATATCTAGACTAGTAACACTAGAAGGCAGATTCTTCACATAGACAGATCTTGATTCCCCTGCCGAAAAGTTGCTTTGATCAAGTTGATATGATCGAATTAAAAGGACAATTGTTTGCAGTATGTAAAAAGGCCAATTGCAACAAATTATACTAACAGCTCATCCATCAGTGGGCATATTTGCTTATTCAACCAAAACCCAGGAGCAAAAAAATTGGATATTTGTTCGAAGTCAATATCCCTTAAGTAGTTATTAAACTCCTCCAAATTTAATGCTGAAGTCAGAGGCTTGATTATTGCCACTGAAATGAGAAATGTATGATACAATAACAGAAGAGGTTGACCACATCCGGATATTCAATCACATTCCTAACAACAATACTAAAATAACATTTTCCCCAAACAACGCCACTACTGCGCATATATCAATATTGAAGTAAGATTTTCCCCAAACATCGCCATTACTAAACATATATCGATAGAGTACTGTAAATTTAGCTATACTTCTAATTTCTGAAGTTCATATAAAATGTCATAATTTTAAACCATATTTCATCACCAAAAATATAAAAAATAAAAGAAAAAAGAAGATAAAGTTTCTTACCTTCCTCTTGTGATAAACCATTATCTACCAAATCCCAACCAGAATCTGGTACACCTGACACCACAGGGTTTGACTGCTGAACTGAAGGGTGTGATGCTTGGTACCAATTTGAAGCAGGTTGAGTGCTGTAAGTGAAAGATGGCTGAGAACTGACTGATGGTGCAAGTTTTCCTTTAGGAGCCCGCAACTTTTAATTTTCCAAGAATTGAAAACAAAGAGCAAGGAGAAATGAAAATCAGTCAGATAGAGTGAAAAACACTTCAAAGACTCATCATGAAAATAAGCACGGCAAGAAAGAGGAGATAAAAGTATCTATTTTCCCATAAAACTTCATACATCAGATTTCTACAACTATCCCACAAAAGCTTACTTATTTTGCACATATTTGTAGGGATCATCTCACTAGAAGTCCATATTGTTCGTAGGTCAGGACAATTACTCTCCGACCACTGAGTTGTCAGCTTCCTCCAAAAACTAAGGCATTACAGAAGGATAATGATAAGCCACCCATACGTTTTACATATGAAAGGCGCCATAAGAAGAAGCTAGCTAATTAGCACTTTTCTGTTATAACTGAATGGGAACTGTAGACTGAGGTCAGGGTAGTTAAGGAAGTATAAAAAGGGGTTAACGGGATTTTCATTATTCATTCAAGGGGTAGATAGAAATCTCTGAATCATTGATGAGAGGGAGCAGCTCTCGAAACCTGCTGTAGCTTCTATTGTTGTTTCCTTCATTTCTTTGCTGTTGTAATTCACAATTGCTTAATTCAAATAATATTTCTTCTTCACCGAATCATCTTTGTATTTCAATTGCTGATTGGCAGACTCTATCATTTGGTATCGGAGCTGACGAATTCTGAGGAGGAATGCCCGTGACGAGAATGGAAACTCGAATTGAAACACTTGAATCCTTGGTGGCTCAGATGCCAACTCGGGCGCCCGAGTACAGGAGCAGCAAGGAAACGTGGAACAATTGAACTCGAAAGTAGGTGTAGAATTAGGGAAAATGAACGAGAAGTTGGAATTGAGCTTGTCCTTGGGATAACGCGATCTGAATGAGGGATTACAAACTATCGTGAAGATGTTACAAAATCTTCCACTGGATTCGCAACCCATGGAAGGAGAAAGGAGTGGGGTAAATTCATCAACACCCGTTGAATTAATCAGGAACCGATAATTACTGGGAAGCAGATTTTGGATCCAACGGAGGGACACTATCGCAAGCTGGAACTTCCATCGTTTAATGGAGTGGATCCAGATTCATGGATTTTCAGAGCTGAGAGATATTTTTGCATGAATAAATTGAGTGATGTGGAACGGGCCCTAGCTGCGGGGGCGTGTATGGAAAGCAGTGCATTGTCGTGGTTTCAATAGGAGGATGGAAGACGACCCATGCGAAGTTGGAGAGATTTGAAGCAACATCTTCTGAAGAGATTCAGGGACACTCAGTATGGTACCTTGCATCAGCGTTTTCTGGCAATTAGACGGACGAGGACTGTAGCCGAATTCAGGGAGAAGTTCGAAGTTATGGCTGCACCTCTTAAGGATGTGAATGACGAAACCTTGGAAGGAGTTTTCATTAATGGGCTTGTAAAAGAGTTGCAAGCTGAAGTACTGATGGCGAATCCGAGAGGATTGACTCAGATCATGGATATGGCACAACGAATTGAGGATCGAAACTTGCGGATCAGTAAGGCAAGAGAAAGGGAATGACCATGCTATAGAAATCCCACCTATACTGCTCTTGCCAAGGTGGAAAGCTGGACAATTCCGTGGAATCCTCCGAGAGTGAACAATTCGATGGAGAGGACTGCAGCCAACCCCTCAAGTTTCACTAGTGGGTTTAAAAAATTGTCCCAAACAGAGATACAATCCAGAAAGGAGAAGGGCTTGTGTTTTCGATGTGATGAAAAATACAATGTTGGACATCGATGCCGGAACAAGGAATTGCATGTGTTGTTGGTTGATGATGATATTGAAGTGGGTGAAAAGGAGGAAGGGATAGAAGGTGATAAGGTAGGAGGAGCTGAATTAGAAGGAGTTGAACTCTCCATGAACTCGGTATTTGGGTTGACATCACCTAAGACTATGAAGGTGAAGGGATCTGTGAGTGGATAGGAAGTAGTGGTGTTGATAGATTCAGGGGCAACACATAATTTCATCTCCACAGAATTGGTACAGAAGTTGAAGTTACCTGTCACAGACACAAATGGCTATGGTGTGCAAGTGGGATCCGGGATGTCTGTTAGAGGGAAAGGAATTTGTAGAGGGTGGTGTTACACCAGCAATCAGTAGTTATTGTAGATGAATATCTACCACTGGATCTGAGTAGCTCTTATATGATTTTAGGGATGTAGTGACGGAGTACTTTAGGCACGGTTGAAGTAAATTGGAAGTTGCTAGTGATGAAATTTCTGACGGGCGGTAAAACGATAACACTAGAAGCATGAATAATTCAACCCAGCATCAGCCCATTTTTGAGCCCAGTGCTACTGGTGAAAAAAAAAGATGGGGGATAGAGGTTCTTCGTGGATTACATGGCCCTTAATCGAGCTACAGTACTTGACCACTTCCCAATCCCAGCTATAAATGAGTTGTTAGATGAATTACACGGTGCAACCATATTCTCCAAACTTGATCTGAAATCAGGATACCACCAAATACGACTTCGTGCTGGGGATGAGCATAAGACAGCCTTCCGGATAAACGAAGGGCATTATGAATTTTTGGTAATGCCCTTTGGACTAACCAATGCCCCGGCCACATTTCAATCGCTGATGAATTGAGTTTTCAAGCACTTGCTGCGTAAATGCGTTTTGGTTTTCTTTGATGATATTTTGGTATACAGTCGTTCATTAGATGAGCATTGTAGACCTTAGGAGAAGTGTTACAGCTCTTACAAGCTCATCAGTTGTTTGCGAACATGAAGAAATGTGAATTCGGATATGTGACCTTGGGGTATCTGGGACATATCATCAGTAAGGAGGGTGTCGCGGCTGATCGAAAGAAAATTGAGGCAATGCTACTGTGGCCTTTTCCCCGAAATTTAAAGGAGTTAAGGGGTTTTTTGGGGTTAACAGGATATTATTGAAAGTTCGTGGAAGGCTATGGAAAATTAGCAGAACCGCTAACAAGGCAACTGAAGAAAGATAGTTTTGACTGGAACCAAGAGGCTGGGAAGGCGTTCGAGACACTGAAGGAGTCGATGACCAGAATTCCAATATTGGCATTACCTGATTTTACGGTGCCCTTTGTTGCAGAAACGGATGCCTCGGAGTGGGATTGGGGGTTGTTCTATCACAACAACAAAGGCTAATTGCTTACTTTAGTCAGGCCTTATCTTCTAGGGCTCGACTTAAGTCTATATATGAAAAGGAGCTTATGGCAATAGTGCTGTCCATTCGGAAGTGGAGGCACTACCTTCTCGGGAGACACTTCATAGTGCGTACAGACGAGAAAAGTCTAAAATTTTTGTTGGAGCAACGTTTGGTCTGTGTTGAGCATCATAAATGGGTTACCAAGCTTCTGGATTTTAACTTCGAAATTCAATACAGACCGGGTCTTGAGAATAAGGCAGCTGATGCATTGTCTCGACTTCCACTGGCCATCGAATTAGCAGTCATCTCCGTGTCAAAGGTTTTGGAATTGGGAGCGCTACAAGAACAGATAGAGAAGGATGAAAGATTGGCCAGTATCCGCGAAGCATTGTTAAGAGATCCTTTATCAATTGAGGATTGGGCTGTAACTGATAGATGTTTGTTGTACAAACAGCGGCTCATTCTTCCTAAGGGCTACAACTTGATCCCCAGTCTACTCCAAGAATTTCATGGCAGTGCTGTAGGAGGCCATTCAGGAGTTCTAAAGACGTATAAAAGGGTGGCCAGTGAGTTATTTTGGGAGGGTATGAAGAAAGACATTCATACATTCATGAAGGCATGTTCAATCTGCCAACAGAACAAGTACTTGACACTTACTCCAGCCCCTACCCATTCCGGATGCAATTTGGGATGACTTAACAATGGATTTCATTAAAGGCTTACCAAGTCAAAAGGCTGGGATACCATTCTGGTAGTGGTGGACCATTTAAGCAAGTATGCCCACTTCTTGACTTTGAAACATCCCTTTAAGGCTAAGACGGTGGCTGAATTATTTGTGTAAGGAGTAGTGAGGCTTCATGGGTTTCCGCGGTCCTTGGTGTCAGATAGGGACAAAGTTTTCTTGAGCTTGTTCTGGAAGGAGCTTTTTCGACTACAAGATACTCATTTTCATCGGAGCACTGCGTATCACCCGCAAATAGACGGGCAATCCGAAGTAAATCGTTGCCTAGAAACTTATTTGCGATGCTAAAAAATTTGCAGATTCAAAAAGGCGATCGGTCCAGTTTGAAGTGGGAGACCTTGTGTATCTCAAGCTCCAGCCGTATCGACAAAAATCATTGGCTAAGCGGGCTAATGAGAAGTTGGCCTCGAGGTTCTTTGTCCCTTATCCAGTTATTCAAAAGGTTAGGGCTGTAGCTTACAAACTCCAGTTACCAGATACGGCTAATATACATCCAGTGTTCCACGTCTCTCAGTTGCGAAAGGTAATTGGTCCGACTACACCCATTCAACCTTTTCCACCACTACTCAGTTCGGATTTGGAATGGACGGTACAACCGACGTTATAGGATTTCGACCTGGAAGCAATCTGTACATGAGGGCCCAGAAGTACTCATCCGTGGCAGAATCTTCCTTCTTCTGAGTCCTCGTGGGAACCTTTTAAGCCGATCAATTCTCAGTTTCTAGAGTTTCACCTTGGGGACAAGATGCTTGAATTTGCGGGGGTATTGATAAGCCACCCATACGTTTTACATATGAAAGGCACCATAAGAAGAAGCCAGCTAATTAGCACTTTTCTTTTATAACTGAATGGAGAGTGGGAGTGTAGACTGAGGTCAGGGTAGTTAAGCCGCTAAGGAAGTATAAAAAGGGGTTAACAGGATTTTCATTATTCATTCAAGGGTTAGATAGAAATCTCTAAATCACTGAGGAGAGGGAGCAGCTCTCGAAACATGCTTTAGCTTCTATTGTTGTTTCCTTCATTCTTTGCTACTGTAATTCAAAGTTGCTTAATTCAAATAATATTTCTTCTTCACCGAATCATCTCTGTATTTCAATTGCTTATTGGCAGACTCTATCAGATAACCAGGACCTTATCCTCTAGTATGAATTCATAATTGTTTTCCAAGAATCTACAATTCTTTTACTTCATTGAGATTGGAGTTACAGTGTAAGAAATGAGGAGGGGCAATCAACATCTAGCAGATTTTTAGGACAAGTACAACATACAAAAGAGCATCGAATTGATGATGCATTTTCAGTACTCATATTCCTAGTGCCTTGGTTATGTAGAAACTCTGTGGTATCTGTTACCAACAAATGAAATGGGACCATGTTAAGGAAGTATTGGGAGAATACTTGACTGATTATCAATTATCCTATATCTCAATACATGGTCATGTAGACTACCATGCTACGTTCATACCGGAGTCATATAACATATTTCTAACTTATATGATGTCCATGTGACATAAGCAGGAAACTGGCAATGTGATGCGAAACTATCACAAAAAATAATATCAATTAGTCTTTAACTAGCATAACTGGCAATGGTACATACTATGGAAGCATAAGTCAACTTCGGAAGCTCTTCAACAGGTTCCTCTACAGTAGGCACGGGTTCTTGCACGGCTTCTTGAATCAACACACTTGATTCTTCAAAAGCAGATTCCTCGTCTACTCTTTCAGCCTCAGGATCATGCTTCTGTTGATGCTCCTGAAAACTATACCCTTCAACCGGCTCATCTCCTTCAATACCAACAGAGTTCACGTACTCTCTGGCCTCCTCCTCTAAGGTATAGTCAGAGACTTTTACAAACAAAACATGTTAGTCTAAAGGATAGTGTATAAACATATGCAAGATATCATTTCTCATACAAAATCAATAGAACAGTGTTCGAATGTAATCACTGTTTCTGTGTGTATATATTTCTGATGTATAATGCTGAGTCAGCACCAGATATATCGTTTTGTATGAGTCGTTGACCCATTCACAACTAGTACATAGATGACAGGACAGACTAAAAACAATTCAGATTCCATTTTATTAAATTACTTTTTCTCTCCTGAAGAACTCGTCGAACCTGTTCATCTCTCTCCCACAAAATTGTGGCTTACGTCTACAAGAATGATCTAAAGTTTTAAGAACTGAACAACTCCAAGCACAAACAAACCGACCTTAAAAGACTGTGCAATCTTGAAATCTAGAAGTAGCTACTAGTACTTGCTCCAATCAAAATTGAAAGAGAAAATATGTACGTGTGATAATCATAATGGTTATGTAGCAACAATGGAATCCAGTAATGCTATTACATAGATACCAAAAGTTAGCCTATTCAAATGAACATAATTTCTTTGGTAACCATCAAAAGCAATTGAGGAAAGAAAATAAGGCATAAAAGCCTGTTTTGCGATACACATACCTGTGAGAATTACTTTGAGCTCTATTTGGAAAACATAGAGTGTTAATGATAAATAGATATATCTGCAAAACCAACTCAGACAACTATACCTGGTGTCTCAGGAAGATGAGCAGAAATATTTGGTTGGTAGTCATTTTTCTGTTCCTCCACTGCTGTAGGTGGAGGTTGAAGAGGAACTTTCTCGTCAGCAAAGTGAAAGATATCATTCAGAACAAAAAAACCGCTCTCCTGGGGAGCAAGGAAAAACGTCTGCACAAATTTTCTCCACCCATCAAAATCCCTTGACTTCACAGAACCAGAAACCACCACAAGAACACCTCCATTCAATGATTTAAGAGAATTTATTGTCTTGATCTCTATTGAAGTGAAATTTAGCGACATGATTACTTGATGAATTTGCTGCAGACAACGGCAGAGAGATAAATGTAACAGAAACCAACATAATTTTTTTATGAAGAAGTCCAACAAATACATTAACATGCAAAAGCTGTAGCCAATAGTTAAAGATAATAGTGTACATAAGTGCTCCACAAAGACCAAAGCAAACGACACACTGTACAATAGTTCCACACAAGGAACATGAAGATATGACAGATTTTTTCAAAAGCTTTCTGCTAAAATGAAAAAAAAAAGGAACAAAATATGACGTAAAGCGGAAAGGAGAAAGAGATAAAATAAGAAATGAAGAGTTTGGGAGAGAAATTTAGAAAGGAGCTTCAACATTCACGAAATGACTAATATTTCCTTTTGTTATTGTCTGGGATGAAGAAAATATAGGTAAAATGCTAAATACTTTTCTTAAACGAACGAAAACAATTCCCCAAGCGCAAATTAAATGTCATAAATATAGAATCAGAGACCATGCAGCAGCTTCGTCCATATATGACCAGTCCAATTATCCTTCAGCTATTGGCATGATAGAGAGTAGACAACTTGTTGCCTTATTCTAAACTGTGACTTGATATGAGTACAAATTCTAATGTCACACCAATAATATCTATAAAGAATAGTAAAAGATATGATGGTTCTTTTCTGGATACAAAGTCCCTTGAATAATTGGGTGAAAGCCAGCATTTCATCTTGAAACATTGACAAAATAAATCACAATATAAAATACCCTAAGATCTATCTATTAATGTTTTATGCATTCAAAACCTTAACTACGTGAATTCATTGAGACTTTCCATCCATAAAAGTCTTGTGTAAAACAATGGCACTTCATTTTTCTTTCTTTCCCTTTTTTTTACTTGTGGGTGTGTGTCTGTGCCCTGATGATTGTCTAAGAACAGAACATATGGAGGTAAAAAAGCAGGGACCAAGATTCTTAAAAATTAATTAATTGCCAGATAGAATCATAAACATCTCTTGAAATAAACAAGGGAGTAGGGAAAGAAAAACATAAATGAGGACAAACTTACTTGTTTATCTATTGAAGGTATCAATTAGCAAGCAAATTACCGAAAAATATCAATAATTAAGAAACCAGAGCATGGAAATAACGAGGAACTATTCATCAGTTAAAAGGATACTTCGCTAGTAACTAAGATTTGTTAAAGTGTTAACAAGGGGAATTCCATGTATACCCAATTTGTCATGCTAAATGTTTATTACAACTACTTTGATAATAATTTCTTTCATTCTTGAAATTTTATCGCCAAAAATATGCCAAACAAGAATGTTAAATGACGGGAACTACAAGTACATAAGAAAAGTGTAAGCATGAACACGCAGAAGATAAAAATAAAACTTTATCAGAACAAATTAGCCAGATCCCAAATCATTTACGTGAAATAACCCAGATTATTGATGTCATCACAAAAATCAAAAGTATAACCGAGATAAGATGATAACTTTATTCCGATCTAATAAACTTTATCAGAACAAATTAGCCAAATCACAAAAAAATTAACGCATACTAACCCCCGGATTATTGATGTCATCACAAAAAATCAAGAAGTATAACTGAGACAATATGATAACTTTAATCCGATCTAACACAAGATAAACAAAATGTAAAAACAAAATTTGTATTTCTAAAAGAAACTTACCACCCTTCCCGAAAACGATTCACTTGAATCCCCGTCAATTCTACTCATGGAGCTGTCATCAGTGTAAAACTGATGCACAATATCCCTTTGCTGATGAAACATCTGGTGATACTGCCGAACGAAATAGGAACCCACCTAATCGTCCAGATGAACAAAGCAATCTCAAGACAGTAACAGATTAATAAAACGATTACACAACATGCATGCACACAAACACACACGCGCACAAGCACGCTCGTGTATGTATATAATTTTTCATTGAATTAAATTCGATTACCTGAGCAGCACTGGCCGGACTCGCCATTCCCTCTAGTTTTTTTTTAAATCGATCCGAAAAAAACCCTCAATCAAACCTCTAGGAATTACACTTTACTTTGTAAATCGCATATCTCTATACTTCGAAATGAGGGTACTGAAGGAGATAGAGTTATACAAAATTTCAGAAAGATTGAAAGATCCAGTAAAAATAGCAATTTATGTAGGGGAAAATGGAATCTACGATTTTGGTGATCTGGACCGTACAAGTAGATTTCTGTTAACGGTTTGGAATTTATTATAAATTATGCGAGTTAATTACATGACTGCCCATTGAATTTTGCTACTGTTTACCACTTGTTCCCAACAAAATAAATAGCTGCTGAATGCTTATCCAACTATACATTAATTTACTTATCCATCACTAGGACCAGTTTCATTTGTACACGTGGACAATAAATTACACGTGGAGGATAAAAAATGACGTGGCAATTACGGCGTTGGTTGAATACACGGAGGATAAAAACGTAATGGGTAAAATAACAATTTTAGTTCCATTTAGCAACACGTTTTTTACTTCTTCCTTTCAAATTTTCTCCCACGTCCAAAATTTCGATCTTATTCACCACCCATTTTCTCTTCTAGGAACCATCTGCGATAGAGAGGGATGAATTATGTTTTTTTTCTTGAATCTTTCAGTCTGAATCTGTTTTTTTTGTTTGTTTTTGAACTAACAAAATGAATATGAAACCTAGTTTCTTAATTTTCTGTTCGTTTATTTGTATTTTGGTGATAATTTCTTTAGTTTCTTCTTCTCCAACTTCAAGCACCAATTCATCTACATGTCCCATGGATCTTGGTTATGTACGGTGCAAAACCCCTCCAAATCCTAATTCAACCTAGCAGAGTTCTCCTACTTTCGATGTACCCCACTGTCGGAAAACGCCAGTGCTGCCAGACCCTCCTCTCCCTTCATGGTATAGGATTTTCACAGCATCTTAAAGAGACTTCTCTTTTTTCAACTGCACAATTTGCCAACTTCCATTTCTTGCTTTGAAGATTTCCAACCCAATTGAATTCTCTTTTGTTAGCCCAAGAATAACTAACCAAGAGATGGTGAATTGGTTATTGAAACTTTTTTGTTAATTACTTTTGAATTTTGCTACTGTTTACCACTCGTTCCCAACAAAATAAATAGCTGCTGAATGCTTATCCAACTATACATTAATTTACTTATCCATCACTAGGGCCAGTTCATTTGTACACGTGGACAATAAATTACACGTGGAGGATAAAAAATGATGTGGCAATTACGGCGTTGGTTGAATACACGGAGGATAAAAACGTAATGGGTAAAATAACAATTTTAGTTCTATTTAGCAACACATTTTTTACTTCTTCCTTCCAAATTTTCTCCCATGTCCAAAATTTCGATCTTATTCACCACCCATTTTCTCTTCTGGGAACCATCTGTGATAGAGAGGGATGAATTATGTTTTTTTTCTTGAATCTTTTAGTCTGAATCTTTTTTTTTTTGTTTGTTTTTGAACTAACAAAATGAATATGAAACCTAGTTTCTTAATTTTCTGTCCGTTTATTTGTATTTTGGTGATAATTTCTTTAGTTTCTTCTTCTCCAACTTCAAGCACCAATTCATCTATATGTCCCATGGACCTTGGTTATGTACGGTGCAAAACCCCTCCAAATCCTAATTCAACCTAGCAGAGTTCTCCTACTTTTGATGAATCCCACTGTCGGAAAACGCCAGTGCTGCCAGACCCTCCTCTCCCTTCATGGTATAGGATTTTCACTGCATCTTAAAGAGACTTCTCTTTTTTCAACTGCACAATTTGCCAACTTCCATTTCTTGCCTTGAAGATTTCCATCCAAGTTGAATTCTCTTTTTCTCCCACAAAACCCTAATTAAAAATTTTAATTCATAGGGGATGTAGATATAGAACTTGGATATGGATTTCAAAGGTGGGATTGCCAATAGATTGAATTAGTTTGAGGATGTGATTTGGAGATGAAAGTGAGTTGGGGATGAATATTTCAATCTCTATGATAGACGAACTTTGATTTTATTCATCCAGAAACGTTATTTCAAATTATACAATTTTGGCTATTTAGAAAATAACAAATTAGAGTACGTTGGAATGATTCATTGCCACGTCATTTATTATATCCAAGTGAAATTTATTGTCCAACTGTGCAAACAAAATTGACTCTAATGATGGATGGGTAAATTAATGATTAGTTGAGTGAGCATTCAGTAATCATTTATTTTTCGGTGAGCAAGTGGTAACAAATAAAATTCAGTTACCACTCGTTTAATTAACTCTAAATTAGGCAACGCATTTTGGGACGAAATTGAATTAAGA